CATACACGAATTTCAGGTTGAGACTTGGGTAATACCTCCAAGACATTTCATTATTGGTATAAATGCAAATACTGTGCAAGTTTTCTAAAATTTGAAAAAAAAATCAAAACACATCTGGTTTCAAGCACTTTGGATAAAGGACACTCAATCTGTATCAAAGGATAAGGGACACTCAAGCTAAAATATATAAGTGATGACTTCTTTTGTCACATTTATGATTAAGCTATTATGGATTATGTGTTTCTCTGCTTTATCATGTCTTAAGTAATTTGTGTCGGCTTTTATGTGATGTGTGTTAATAGTTAGGGTTTCAGTTAGAAGAAATACTATGTTTTGTCCCATACAACACAATTGTTAAATGTTTTGCTCCTGGCTGATCTGGTTCCATGGGCAATTTTTTTTTAAAAAAATCAAGCTGGATGTCCTTCAGTTCATTACACCAAAGTTCTTCACTAAGGAAAGCTGCCTTATGTTTTATTTGATTTTTGCAAATGGAATTCATATGGATATATCTGGTTCTTGTTAACAATTCTGTTTGTGGTGGTCACAGAGCAATGCAGGGCATTGACTCTGCTAGCAATCTTACTCAGCTCTCCTACTTGGCTTTTAAGTTTGCAGTAGCTATTGGTTGAATATTTTTCCACACATTATTGTAGCATTTATGTGTATTGATCTTTCTTTTTTAAGAGAAGAAAAAATGTTGAAACATTCATGAAACGGGACTTTGCTTGATGATGAATTCTTCCATTGCCCTTAGCGGCAAATGAATCATGGAGTGCACACCATAGTGATCTGCACTAAAGAAATACAGAAACATCCTAAGTTTACCAAAACCTGCACTTGGCATGAAGAATGCTCATCATTTATGCTTAAAGCTCATTAGAAGTTCATGAGCCAAACAACCCAAACAATACTGCAGTTTGCAGTTATTAACTTTACTTTTACTCCATCCATCTAAAGCATGTAGAGATCATCATCATCATCATCATCATCATCATCATCTCGATGATCTGGACAGAAAAACAAGAAAAATGATGAAAATACTCTACTCATTATACCCATGTAGTGATGTCGACAGACTTTACCTGCTCAGAAAATCAGGAGGCAAAGGGCTTCTGCAAGTGAAACAACCAATAGAAGAAGAGAAACATGTACTGGCAGATTATGTGAAAGGCAACCAAGAACCAACACAATAGTAGTAAACTGCTTCAAGTGCAAGGCTCTCCATGGACAGTTCGTGGGAAAAATTGAGAGCCAAACTGACAAAGAAAAAACATGGCTGTGGCTCACAAATGGAACTTTGAAAAAGGAGAAGGAGGGCCTGATTCTGGCAGCCCAAGAACAAGCCATTAGAACAAATGCCATCAAAGCCAGAATTGAAAAGTCAGCGACAGATTCCAAATGTAGACTCTGCAAGGAAGCAGATGAAACAATAGATCACATCCTCAGCTGCTGCAAGAAGATTGCGCAGACAGACTACAAACAGAGACATAACACCATTGCTCAGATGATTCATTGGAACCTGTGCCACAAATACCATCTGCCTGCAACAAAGAACTGGTGGGATCACAATCCTGAAAAAGTTACAGAGAATGAACACGTCAAACTACTCTGGGACTCCCAAATTCAGACGGACAGAGTTTTGGAACACAATACTCTTGACCTCACGATCATGTTAAAAAACAAAGTATGGATTGTTGATGTTGCAATCCCAAGTGACCGCAGGATTGAAAAGAAACAACTGGAAAAGCTGACACGGTGTGAGGATTTAAAGATTAAACTGCAAAGACTAAGTAAAGGTGGTCCCAGTGGTGATCGGCACACTAGGTGCAGTGTTTAAAGACCTTGGCCTGCACTTAAACACATTTGGCACTGACAAAATTGCCATCTGCCAGCTGCAGAAGGCCACGTTACTGGGATCTGCACGCATTATTCGCCAATACATCACACAGTCCTAGACACTTGGGAAGCGTCCGATGTGTTATCCAATACAACAGCCAGAGTGATTTTGTCTGCTGTGGACTCATCTTGTTGTGTTTCAAATAATAATAATAGTAATAATAATAATAATAATAATAATAATAATAACAACAACAACAACTTAATTTTATTCCACCCTATTTCCCCGAGGGGACTCAGCATGGATTCCAACGTAACAACGGCAAACATTCAATGTCTTTGTAAAACAAATACTGACATAAAATCCCAGAGAAATCCCACATATAAAAATAACATTAAAATCTAACATCAAATTAAAACTTAACATCAATAAATTATAAATTAAACCTAACATCAATAAATTAAACTACACGTAGTCAAACAAAATTATATAATAATATAAAATCTAAACATCCACATTAATTTACAATTAAAAACTTTTTAAATAGCTCTAATATTGCCTGGTCTAGTCATATTTTATTTTCAACAATTGCATTAAAGCATGTGTCAGAAAATTACTGAGGATAAAACAGATTTAATGCAAAATAAAAACATGTGGGGAAAGATTTCTTATTATTGTTTTGACCCACATAAAGATCTCTAGAGGAAACCATATGGATTCCAACCTCTGTGTTGTGAAATACTTTTTTTTATCTGGAGCTTGCTTCACTTCAAGTGATGCATCCCAATGCCCTTCTTCCTCTTATTTGTTATGTCAGAGAATTTACTTCATCATGCCAGCCACTGTTTCCAGATCATGCCCCAAAGGCCCAGCTAACAGATTCTACCCCATCTGTCAGAGCCACCAACTTTATCAAATGTGCATTCTGAAGCTTAATGGTCTCAAGAATTTCTTACACCATATTGTTGTCCTGATGTTTAAGTAAGTGGCTGCCTTCAAAACAAAGTGGTTGCACTCACTGAAAAATGTAGGTCTCAAAGACACTCTTCACATGCAGCACTCCTACTGTTGTAAAGAATGATGCTCTCAGCCTTGGTTATCTTAATGTATCAAACCCTGAAGCAGTGCAAACAAGTTATCAGCCATACTGAATGAAAATGCAACTGTAATGCAATTTCTATGGCAGGCACACTAGGTCATGAGATTTAAATTAGTATTTCCTCAGATGGATCAGCTTCCCAAAGTTCCTTGCTCCACTTTAAAGAGATTACAGCCAGTTTGTTCAATTCAGCAGGTTTCAAATAAAATAAATCCCACAAACAAGTGAGAGGGATACTTCAATCCTCTCAGAATCAGTAACACAAGCATGCCTGTTAACGGTACAAAGCACTCATTCGGATCAGCCTGCCTGACACAGAGTCTGGCATGAAAGCTCAAGATGAATTCCAGAAACACCTTTGGCATCAGTCTTATAATGAGTCTGAAAGTGCTCTTCTCTGCTGAAGACCTGTAGCCCAAAAGTCATTTGCTTCTGTCTCCCTCCTGAAGACCTGAGGGAGAGTTGTCAACAGCAAAGCAGGTCATACTCAAACTGAGAAAGTGGTATAGTTTTCACACTTATCTTTACTTAATAAGATCACTACTTTCGTCAAAGAGTATGGAATTGGCAAAGTCTGCATTTGCCCTGATACTAAAAAGGAGACACTAGGGATCAGTAAGAATATAAATAGACTCAGGCATTCTTTCGAATGGCTTTTGCTTTTGAAAATAGAAGGAACACCCAGTAATGTGATTGAACTGAATAGTCAAGAAAGTCACTAACCTAGCCAGTCAGTGTTATCTGTGGGTAGGCTATCTTTCTTTGACCCTGAATCAAACTAAGGAACAAGTTCTGTTTTGACATTATGCGAAACTGCTTTCACCTTTAGTTTCTTCACCAGGCAAAGCTTGGTTTGTATATCAAGATTTAATGATCATACAATGTCATTATAGAAGGTTGTCAGGTTGACAAAGGACATGCTGCAGTCTGCTTAATATAGCTAACAGGAGCAAGCCTGGACAATCAAAACTAGAGAGATAAGCTAAGAAGTGATTACTTTTGTGTTTTGTTTTTAATGCCACTTAAAGAGATCACCAGTTCCCATGACAGAGCACAGAGGACAGAAAGGTGGTGGAAAAGTATATTTTCTTTTAAATAATCACTGCTACAAATAAGACTTGACAATGAGCTCCTCATGTTATACTCACTGTGCAATTTGTAAATCATGCACTCCAGTCTGTTTTATTACCTTTCTCAACTCAAGGGAAACCAGGAAGCTGATTGGTCACTAAATGGCAGAAGCAGCAACTTGCAAATGATTCTGTCACCTGCCCATACCATCTCACTGTTCTATAGAGAAGCCATGGCTTCAAAAGAAGCATCTCACAAACAGGAAATGCCCTATGAATGTTCAGGAACCACTGGAATCAATATGTCTGTAGAGAAGACCAATGTAATGCCCACTTTTTCTCCAAAGAGGGAATGGACACTGCCATTCTAAATCTTATCAGGGAGTCATTTGCTCATGGACAGTGTGGACAGAGACACCTTTTCCCACCAATTCCAGACCAAAACATAATCCATGAAAAATATCTAATGTCTTCAAAGTTAAAAAAATGACAAATTCGAGGTTAACTGAATGATTTCAAATAAAGGAAAACAGTCTCTGGTACAAAATTCATTTGATGTTCTCCCTCTCCTTGTGAAAAGTAAAGAAAGAAATTGCAATCTTTACAGGATGTTAAAACTGTCATAAAAATGGGGAGTAAAGTTTGAGGTTGTTCTAGGTTAGTCATGTGAATACTGTAGCTTCACAGGAAGAATGATTTATGTCCCCTTCCACACAGTTTATAAAAATTCACATTTTCTACTTTGAGCTGGAATATATGGCAGTGTGGACTCATATAACCCAGTTCAAAGCAGACATTGTGGAATTTTCTGCCTTGACATTCTAGATTATATGGCTGTGTGAAAGGGCCCTCAGATAACCCACTTCAAAGCAAATATTGTGGATTATCTGCCTTGATATTCTGGGTTATATGGATGTGTAGAAGGGCCCTAAGAAATACTACTGATGTCTATGTATGTACACAGAGTATTAGTAGAGGTTTACTGACTTACCTATCCATCTCATCAACGATGTCATGATCTGCAGATACTTAGTTTTTTGCACATTAAAAAATGTGAATGGACCCAAGAGAAGGGTAAATGCTGCCTGAAAGAATGGTAGAAAGAGTGCAGGCTTAGAAAAATCATGGACATTTTTCAAAAAAGTAAAGTTTTCCTGGACAACTTTGTACAAGTCACATAAATTGTCTCTGTCATCACAGATTATTTTTCTGTTACTCAAACAATTAATGGGGTTTTGATGGAGGCAGACTAAGAATATAAACCCTTTCTTTATAAACATTTGCTACAGCAGCTACGTAATGCTATAAACATTAAACTCTGATTTTTAAAGTATCAATTTCTGTGATCAGTTTAAAGCTGAAACTTGTTGCAAACTGTTCTAGCATGATTCAGAAGCTGATGTTTTCACAGTGAAATATTTAAGATTTAAAATGATACAATATAACTTTAATATTCAAGTATCTACATAAAATCTTGAGCAAAATAATAGCAGCCAGCATATAATAAACAAATGGAACACATTTAGAGGGGGGGGGGGGTTAAAAAGGATAAATCAACTTTGTTTGAAAAATCATTAAAAGATTTTCCACTTTAGAAGACCATTTCTAAACCAGCTGTTCATTCTTCCTTCATTTTTTTTATCTTAATTCTTATTCAGTGAGACAAACATACCATCATACAAACAAAGCTATGTGCAACAAAACAAATTAATCAAACACACAAAACAAGCATTTTTAAAAAATGTAATACACTAACCTATAAAACCTGATAAAACTGCTAAGTCAAAACATACAATATAAAACAAAAATATAGCCATAAACTGTTAACACAACATATACATTAAAATCAATTTAAAACCAGTTGCGCTCTCTTCGTCATGCAAATGGTTAGTATTAGTAACCTGAGTCATATTGGTTTCTACCATATTCTAACAAAAGCTATTGGTTTTTTTAGTCAACTAAGTTTGATTATTTTAACCATAGGGCAAGGTTTGGAAAGCATAGCCAATGAGGAGCGGCTTAAAGAGCTGCAGAAGAGAAGGTGGAGAGGAGACACAAATGCCATATTTAAATATTTGAAAGGATGTCATAAGAAAGAGAGAGCCTGCTTGTGTTCTGCTGCCCTGGAGACTGGAACTCAGAGCAATAGGTTCAGATTACAGGAAAGGAGATTCCAGCTGAACATTAGGAAGGACTTCCTGACTGTAAAAGCTGTCCAACAGTGACACTCTCTACCTTGGAGTGTGGTGGAGGCTCCTTCTTTGGAGGCTTTTAAAGAAAGGCTGGATGACCATCTCTTCCCCTTTGGGGAGATAAAACGGGTATAAATATAATAATTCGGGTATTTTGATTGTGTTTTTCCTTTAGATGGCTCATGCAGTCTCTTACAACTTTATGATTCTATGAATCTTATAAGGCTTCATGTGAAGTCTGATCAATCCAGATATACTCTTTTTGGAGAAGTAGTCATTTACAATATTAACTCAATGTAGATTTAAAAAAAATGCATTATGTGACTTCTCACTTCATTAGAATGCAATGCATTTCTATTGGAACAAAAATGCCTCAGGCCCATAGGAAGGTTTCCAGGTGTAGGTATGCTACAATGCCCAAACTTTCAGAGCCAGAAAGCACATATTATAAGATATAACATTTGGTCAGAGTAGCTGACAGAGTATACTGTTTAATTTCAAATATTTGTGTGTACACAAAATGTTGTTAGGCAGCAAAATGTGACTGTGTGGCTAGAAAATGTCCCATCTGCTAGGAGGGCAGTTAAGTTTGTCAGCATTCTATGACAACCAGAAATTACCTCAATTTTTGACAGACCCATGAATTGTTGAATTAAAGATGATAGTAAAAACTGCACCATTAACCAGTATTATGAAACTGCTGCAGCTCCTCTTATTGATTATCACTGTGATGCTAAAATGTTTTTCGGAGTCTACATTATTGAATATTGTACACTGTAAGGAAGGCAAAACAGTCCAATGTTCCCCATTTATAAGACATGCAGAAAATTTTCTAAATCTCTTTTAAACAGCCAAACAGAAAACCATTCTGTTTCCTGCAGGCCACCCAATTATTTCCATTAAAGAAGCAAAATACCTTTTGTTTTTTAAAAAAGCTATGCATGAATAAACTTTTGTGACATACACTGAGTTTTTGAAGTGCTCTACTTTAAAGAGAAACACATTTGATTTTACTTATAACATGAGAATTCTGCATTTATTGCCTGCGAAAATAGTTTTTCCTCCAGGCCATCTCCCTATCTGCAGGTGCAAGAGGAAGACTTGTGTCTCAGCAGTTGAAACTACTCATCTAAAAGCTGTGTGAGAAGGATCAAATAGACACCCTTGCAATTGTCTTCTGAAAATACCCTGCTGATTCAGAGTAACTTGACAGAGATGATGAATGAGCACTCAGACATAGAATTTGTGCAAGGGTCTTTCATTGCACAGGACTACATCAGTTGTCAGAGAAAAGGCAGAGTGTGCACAGGCACTGTGGTCTCTTGTACAGATCTGCCATCACTGGGGAATAAAGTACTATTCAACTAGAAGTCTCTAATTAACGAAGCAAGGGAATAATGAGAAGAGGGATCTAAAGAATACTCCAAGAATGTCAAAAAGAATTTAAAATGTCTATGACTGTGGAGTGACTGAATGAAGTGAAGGAATCCTAGAGGGATTAATTTTATTGGCAGCGCAAGAGAGTGGGGAAAAAGATTGTGAGTCAAGACACATATTGATTCTTTAGTGTATGTTTCGTTTCCTGTTCCTCAAAATAAAGTTCTAATTAAAATAAATATCTGTGAAAGCCTCTGATACCATACTTGTATGATGCAAAATATGGTGGTTGGGAAAAGACTGAGGTAAGAGTATGTGTTTAAATGAATGATGATTCTATGTTATTTATATTTTATCAAAGGACAACTAAATGACAATCAATAATCTAGGATAATCATTAGCATCTCCTATCAGAATAATCAGCTAAACAAACTTTTTTTTATGATTCTATAGCTACCATTGTGAGGAAACTGCAGTCTATGGGCTGCATGTGGCCCTGGGGCCACACTTTTGCCACCCTGATACTCCCCTACCAGTTCCCTGAAAGTCACCCTCTTTAAAAAATGGTGTGATTTGGGGAAGAAACATTTTCTGGTGGTCCCTGTTACAAGAACAGAAGATCAATGTAGTTGCCCACTGCTACATTGATGGAGATAGGGATGTATGCAGTTTCTAGGATGAATTTATGCTACCAGCTCTCAGCTTGGTACCACTGATTTCACTTTTTTGCAAAGGCAGACTGTTGGCATTATATTGAAAGATGCTTGCAAATGCCTTCCCAATCAGACAGAGTGTCTGGGGAAATGTGACTGGGGAAAAAACTTCATCTGATCCTAGATTCTATCCTCCATGCCTAAAAGTAATTGTGGTACATTGGTAGATAAAGGACAGAGCCCTTAAAAAGTCTTGCAATTAAATCTCTGTTCCACCAGTTACATAGCATTGCTAAAATATATTAGAATACAGAAGCATCCACAAGAAGAGACTGAAACATACTTGACCTCTTTCAGGTCAATGGCATAAACAATCTGTTTTAGCCTCACAGTCATTTTCAGTTTAAACAATTTCTAGGGTCACATTCCAATCATTTGGCAGGGCCAAACAGGTCTAAAAATGCCAGCATACTTTACCTTAAAGCTCTTCCTACCAATAACTGAGAACAGACATTACTACTTTAAAAACTGGGGAGCAAGCCCATACCAGGAACCTCCTTCTAGAACTGGGGAGTGGGCCCATACAGAGGCTGGGAAACCACCTAAGAATGGGATCATGGGGGTGAGGGGAAACAGGGTTACTGGAAGCAGGAGACTAGACTGGGATCCCAGGAGGCTGGATTCTACCTCAGAATCTGAAGATTTTCTATTTCTGCCCTATGAAATAGAAAATCTAAAACATTCTAAAGTCTCTAGGTACATCAAAAGAAACATTTAAAGTGGCAGATCCTCCATGTTTTATTCCCACCCTTTCCCACAAGGCACACTGCCTAACATTAAGCCGATCTGAAATTACAGGTGACACAAAAACCTATCTGCAGAAACAATCTTCTGGGTTTGGTCCAGGATTCACTGTTGTAAACAGATCTTGGAAAAGTTACTCATTTGCACTAAAATTTCCAGCCATCAGGCACATGAAATTTGTGTAAGCAATTTAATATACAATTGCTAGAATGATGGGATAAAATAAGATTTAAACAACTCAGTAAAGTATTTCAGCAGTATACAGGTTTCCTCTATTTTAAAAACATTTTCTTTTTAATGTAATAATTTGTTCTATTTACCAAACAATCAAAGAATTGGAGCAAATTCTAGCATTCCTCTATCCAAACCCTGCTCTTGAAGGAAAAGCTCAAGAATACACATTAGATAGTTTTACAGCCTCTTCTTGAAGATCTCCAAGGAAAGATCCTCCAAAAATTACTTCCACAATTTACATACTCCTTTATGTTCAAACAGAATCTGAAGACAGGTAACTTTCCCCTTTTCTATGCAATTGTCCTTAGGGTAGTTGAAGCATGTTCTCATTTTTGCCGTTTCTGCTCTTTTTCCCTTTCAGATTAAATACCCCTGTCTTTCTACATGTAACTTGATTTCTGTAACCCTGATCATCTTCTATTAGTCAGAATTGATTGTCCCATTGATTAAAATGCCTTCTCTGCATCACTAAGTCCCAGTATCAATTTTCTAGGACAATTCTCCTTCAATTTACTGATTGCAATCACTATTATACAGGACTTTTCAAAATCTCAGCTGCATCAGAGAACTTCTAACTGATGAGCTACTTAACCTACATGTTGCTCAAGCTGGTTAAAAGGAAGTGCTGACAGTACATAAAAAGATAATTTCTTTTCAAGTAAGTGTCCAGGATGAGATATAACTCTTAGAATGTGTTGATGAATAGAGTTCATTCAAAATAAGCAAATTTAGGATATTTCCAGTTAAATACACATGAGGCAAACAACAAAAGATTCCTCTCAAACTTTACTCTATTGACTTAAATAAAAAGGCACTTCTATCACC